AACTGATTCGAACCTAATTACCCCATAAAACCAGGGCGCCTTTGGCCTCTTCGGTCTTCTTCGACTAGCAAGATTGGTCAAGCGAGACGAAAGCTCTTTTCTCACCAAAGGGCCTCTCTAGCCAAAAGAGGTTTTGGTCTTTGCCGTCTTGTTCAACTCCGAGCTCTTATGGCTAAATGCCCGCATTGGAGCATCTGACCACTTGAATTCGAATCCACACACTTCCTTTGCCACTTTGGTCCGACCCACCCACCACCTCGACACCCTGGAGCACGTGCTGCGCAGGACTCCCTGGAGCATCGCTGTCTGAGCCGGGCCTTGCCGCGGAACGTGCCGACCTACCGAGCCCTCGGGGTGCCCCACCGGGAGACTGGTGCGCTCTACGCCGGGGAACTCCGGTGAATAGGGGACCGGAGGACGGAAATCACCGAAGTCGGGACCCGCTGAAGCGGGGAGTTGGGAAGGTCGGAACGTCACAGCACGGACACAAGAAGGATGAGTTGAACGAGTTGCACAAGTGGCTGGTGAGTGGGAAGGTGAGAAGAACATGTCTCATGCTGAAACCGAAAAGGCAGGGATGCTTCGGATTTTGAGGGACCATTTTCTAGACAAAGCCAATTAATTACATTAAGCAATCAACAGTCGCGATACATACCAACATATGTTGCCATGCTCCTTTTGCTTGAACTTGAACCTAATGACATGATGTCCAAGCTTCTCAAGCATTCTCGCTATAGATTCCCTGTTCGCGTTCGAGACATGTGGCACTTTCACCATCAAGAGGTCTGGATGGACGGACGGACCGGCCAACCTGGCGACCGCGACCCTGTTCATCCCCCTCAGGTCGCTTGGACGGACGAGGAAGCTGAGGCCTTGGAGACCTTGGAGCGCTCCACCGAGGAGGTCCGGTCTTGGAGCGCAGCTGACGCGCAGCTGACGCGCACGCACCGCACGCACCGCACGCACCGCGTCAGCCGGCACACGGGTGTTGACCCGGAGAAAACCGGGAGCAGTTCATGTGGACCGGGGCCAGGGCCTTGGCCGAAAGGCAAGGCCCTTACCTAAGGCCCTGCCTTCACTTACTTCATCAATATGGGGTGAACCACTCCAGAAAGCCATGCCAAACCTGGCATCGTTTATCAACCGGTTCCGCCACTGTCCAGGTAGATTTGCAGCGACTCAGCCCGGAGGAGAGAGACTCAATACGCTTCGTTGCAAGCCGCTTCGTGGGGTAGATGATGGTAGATGGGAGGTGTTGCCGGGTATCTGAAGAGCTGTTGTGCCCAGTAAATATCATATGAGACGCCTATAGTTGCTTGATGTTGCTTGTCATGTTTCTGATATCCAGGTGGAAGGATTAGATGTCTTTTCCGTCATTGACATGTTCAACGCGGCTTGAACATCCCATGTCAGGCAAGCTACATAGATGCTTTACAGCCCCCATGGCGGTTCGGGGCCTTGCCCCTTATAATGCATTTCTGGGTGCTATCGGATTCGGTGCCGGAAAGCCTATGAAACTCTCTTCCCGATGGAAACGCAAAGGACAAGACTGCTGAAATGAGCGTTCAGCAAAGACTACAGGCCGTGAGGTACAATTCCTAATTTGTGCAGTGCTCGAGTGCTCGATTTCTCAGAATTGCTGAAACATGCTGAAACCAATTATTCTTCTGTTGTTGAATCGCTAGGAGCTGAAAGACATGGAGCCCGCATTGTCACCTTCTTTGGGAGGTGTGTTGGTGCGCCTGGGCTGAGTATTTATTGCAATGAAACTGAAGTCGTTTGATGTCGTAAAGAAGATTTCATGACCTACCGTGGTGGGTATGGGTGTGGGTGTGTGTATGTACGGGTCAAAAACCTCCAAAGCCATGATGCCTTGACCCATAGCCAGACGTCTCAAACACTGTTGGGCAACCGACGTCTCGAACACTGTGCCAGCAAGCGCCTGGGTTGACTATCTTGAGAGAGTCTCAAACTGTGTTCAACGTTGTTTGACCTGGAGAAGCCTTCCCATATACACACGGTGGCGTACACTGGCGTACACACGGTGGCCGCGCGTAATGATGCTGCACCGCTGCACCGGTTAGGAGCTAGATCACAGTTGGGTGTCAAATGTACAAGACTTTGTCCACTCCGCTGGGTGGCCTCACATCAAACAATTTCAACTGCAAACTTCTTGAACGGATACTTGTTTACCACAAAACCTCCCTCCATTTCCTATCAGATGTCATTTACCTCTCACTCAATCATTTAAACTAATAGAAACAACGACCCGGGTATGAAGGGCCAAGGTTTTCCGAGAGGTGCTCATCCCTGGGCCGTTTGTTCCATGTTGTTTGATTTCCATGTCAGTGAGGTTCATGCCTTCCCTCTTGGATTTGCCATCATTGAGGCCGGGAGAGGTCACGGTGGACCCAGGCTTGGTGGTTTTAGCCTTCGCAGCTGAAGCACATAGCTTGGGCGCGCAGATTCGAGAGCACTGTGAGGCCGGGGGAGAAGAGATCGGCCGAAGAGCACTGCTTTTGGGGCGGAGGACAGAGGTGGATGAATGGTGGACATAGCCATAATGCGCACGTGTAGGATTAATCACCCCCCCTCAAGGTCAACAAGGTTTGGGATTTGGAGGTATTAAGGTCTGAGATTGGAGGTATTGGAGACCACATCTCCCTAAAAATGTGTGTTTTTTGTTTAAATAACTTTCTGGGGGCAGATGGATTTGATTGATAGGGGAGGTGTTTGTCAAGTAAGATTTTTTATCAGTGGGAGGCCAATGTGGAAATTTGGGTTTTATATTATGGTTTTGCATTGGAGGCTCGAGATGGGCTTGATGAATAAGGGTGGGTTTCTTAATCCTATATGCGCATTAGGCTTGAGGGCATGAAAGAATTTCACCATGCTGTGCGTTGCTAGATAAATATTCCATGGCAAGCTGCATTGGAAGCGGTGGATGTTTTGACCAATGCCTTCGAACATGGTCTCCCAAGACAAGGGTGCTGGACCTTCGAGGTGTCACAAACCACAGTTCTTTTGTCAAAGACCAGGAAACCAATATGAACAGTAAATCCCCACTAAGAATGTATTGGAAAGGGTTTCTATCATTTGGGCAAGATAACTGTTGGCTCCAGCTGTTGACTCACTTCTGAACGCTGCAACACTCTGGCGGGTTTATGGATACCAGGGCTCCACTTCTGAACAGAACAATTTAGGTTCGAAAGGAACATGAAAGGATAGGATGGCTAAAAGAAGAACCTCCATGAGAACCCATGATGCTCCCAACATCTCCCAACAATTCCGAACTTCTAAAGGAACATGTTCCTAAATGTCTCCCACCCACGATTATATAAGCGACTCAGTCGACGCGTCTGTCTGTGTGGCGCCGAGTTTTCGCTCAGGTCTCCTTTGCGGGGCGATATGGTGAGGCTTGGCTGTTACAGTGACTCGGCCCAGAGCCGCTGGGAGGACCGAGCACAGGTGATGTAGCAGGATGTGCCATTTTGGAAGGACTCTGGAGCTGATGAATCATCTCGAATCCATTCGAATCCTCTCCAGTCTCGAGGATCCTACGGTTACAACATGTTTAAAGTCAATCAACCCAAGCCAGAGGATGTAGCAATGTAGCTCAACACGGATCGATTTCTTTGCTTCATCATTCCTCGCAGCGACTTCTGCCCTCGCGGATGGGAGGCTTCCAGATGAAACGCTGCTGGCCGAGCAGGTCGTCAGCTGCACAGGCCCGTTCCGGCGATCGAAGGCGTTCGGCTTTAGGGGTTCTTTCTTTCTTCCATCCTCTGCAAGCTCTGTTATTGTGTTTCTGCATGTATATGTTTCTGTGATGAACCCAACACATCAAAGCAAAAACAACAAGTGATGTACCATTGCTGGCCAGCACCTTCCTTCCTCAAACGACCTTCACATTGCTTCCGGCGGTGGCCCGAGGCCTTTCAGCCGCTCTCTGGGATTTTTCGGAGCTGTGGTTTCAGCCGCGGAGAGGTGGGGCCACCGGGGGTGGTAAGAGAAAGGAGAAGCACGTCGAGACGGTCAAACTATTGAAGAATATTTGTCAGAGAGAACTTGTCAGAGATGTATATTCGGTGCTTGAACCAGATAGATGTATAAAGTATAAAGTATAGATTGTCCCTGATTGTTGGGCGACTGTGACATGGAGCTCTGTCTTCTCAGGTGACTACCTCCTCTTCCAACGTCCTTCGCCCCACTCACTGGCCCCTCTGGGCCGACCCATCGGCGCCGTGCCAACGCCCCACGCGCGGGGCGTCTACGTGTGGCCCACCGTGCAACCCGGAGCGGGCGGACCGGAACCGTCGTGGAGGATTGCCCCGGAGAAAGAGGACATGGACACAGACCTGAAACTCTAAGATGATGATAATGAAGAAGAAGAAGAAGATGATGATGATGATGATGATGATGATGCACCTTCTCTTTCACAACATGACTTGGGCTCACCGGTTTGTGCAACACACCTGACAACTGATCGTTGGCTTGTCCATGGGACATCTATGGACATCCACGCCTTTTGTCCCGAGGCAAGGCCCCGGACGTCCACTCACCACCGGATGAGAACACTTGAGAGCACGTGATTTGACAGTCCTCAAGCCTCTTCTTAGACCCTTATTAGTTAGTGTAGTCACCTTTTTGGCTTAAGATTTGCTTTCTTAAACTAAACGACTCAAGGTCGAACATCTATAAACAGCCAAGTTGAGAGGGTCACCTCCGCGTCATGTCGCACCTTTTTCCTCCTTTGCCCAGGCATGGCGATGTGCTTTGTGGACCCACCAACGTTCCGCAGGCCGGGGGGGGCGACGTTGACGCGCTGGTGATGTGTCGGGGGTCGCAGTTGTTCCGGTAGGCTGGCGATGTCTTGGGGCCGAACTAGCAAACGTTGCTGTCTACTTCTCCTTGGAAGGGCCAAGGAGAAGCTTTTCCAGAGCCTTATGGGAGCAGTCTTTCTCCGATGTGCAAGCTCTAACCACTGCTGGTTTCAGAGGGTTGGATTGCCAAAAGTATCCAAATCAAGGTTACTCTTTTTTTTGGGAGGATGTTTGGCAAAGTGAGGATGTAATGTGCCCCGCCCAAAAACCGTAGTCTCTCCAATTAGACACTCTCACCATCTCTAACCCCCCCTTTATTTCCCGATATTTCTCGCCTCAGCATCCAGGTTCCTTTCCCTTCGCCATCGCTCCGAGTCCATCCGTGTTCCAACAGTGAAAGCCCGCCGGAGCGGCGGCCCGCCATGGCGCTCCACGCGGCGGTCCTTCCGGGGCTCTTCATCTGCGACGCCGAGGGCGCCAAGGAGTACTCCACGCTCCGGTCCTGTGGCATCAGCCATGTGGTGGTGATGGCTCGGAGCCTGCAGCCCGAATTTCCAGGATGGGTTTAGGGGAAGCAACCCATGGAAGACCCCTATGTTTAGGGCAAGGCATGGAAGACCCCCTATGTTATCCTCTTCAAAGTAGTTTTCAATATGAGCATCTGACAAGACGTTCGTAAAGGGGCTTTAGTCATGGGCCGCCTTAAGTAGTGTCTGAAATTGGTCAAAACCTTGCAAAGCCGATAGGAACACTGGAAACCGATAGGGGCCAACTCGAAATACTCTTGGCATTGGGGACACAAAGAAGTTTTGTCCGCCGCTCATATAGTGTATCCAAAGAATGATACTGTATTATATATAGATAGGCTTGTTGATCTATGTTTTTTTTTTTTTCAGGATCGTTCCAATACCTCCAAGTCGACCTTTTGGATGATGGCACTGACGATTTGCTGGCTCATCTTCCGCGCATCTTCTCCTTCCTCGACAATGCCTTTCAGCGGCAAGGCAAGGTGCTGGTACACTGCTTTGCAGGTATGAGCCGCTCCGCTTCTACGGTGATTGCATATGTGATGCGACAGTGGCAGCTGCCCTTTGATCTAGCCTTTGGCATGCTGAAAGAGATGTATCCAAAGGCTGCACCAGCTGCGAATTTCTGCGAGCAATTGCGTGTCTTCGAAGAAGCCCATTTCAGTCTTGCTGACGAGGAGGGATCGCAAGTGCTTCCACAGGTTCCACTCGGTTCCGCGCATCGTAGGAATCAGGAGCAGCTCGCTGCAGATGAGCAAATGGGTGACTTGGTGACGAGGGCAGGAGATGAAACAAAGCTCAGAGCATGTTGCTGCGACATGAGTAAGTCATCTGACAAAACACCCGCAGAGGATTGTAATGCTGATGTCGCCCAAGGAGCTGGATCATACGGATTTTGGCAGAAGGCGCTGGTCCAATTGTATATCCAAGAGGGGACAAGCACAATCATCGCGGAGAAGAAGATGCTTGCAGCTTGGGCACTCAGCCACGAGCCCTCATGGCATCTTTATGTGCAAGAATGGAAGAAGAGCTCATTTAAGACCGTTGACCTGCACATCGCAAGCGCACTGCGGCAAGAGTTCGTACGCACCGCACACAAAGACGTCGGAGAAGCTGGTGAGAGCAGGGACGGACAAGGGCCGGCTTTCGTGTATTGTTGCATCAAATGTCGAGAAGCCTTATTCACTAGCGACCATGTGCTACATGATTGCGCTAGTGGATACTATGTCGAACCCATGCAGTGGATGATGACGAGCGCTGCACAGGGAAAGCTGGCGTGCGCATGCGGTGCAAAGCTCGGAGGCTTTACATGGAATGGGCAAATGTGCATGTGCGGCACGTTGATGGCTCCTGCATTCAGCATTCACAAGAAGAAGGTAGAGTGGAAGAGTGTCGACCAGTTCAGTGGAGACACCCCTAAACCCAAGTTTGGGTGAGCATATATAGCGACATCCGCAAGAAAAAGCATGGGTTGAGATGTCGAGGAGCAGTATTCTTCATGTAGCCGAATGTATAGTGTACAGATGTGTACAGGCACCGCTACATCTACTGACACTGCCCACGCTTCACCCCAACGACGCCTATACAGATGTGCCCATATACGATGCGCGTCGCTGAGAAATATGGCGGATGACTGTCACTGTTCCGATAGAATTGGAGAGTCCAAATGTTTGTCGTTCGATTTCGGATGGGACTTGATCAGGCAATTGGTGTATCCTGGCAATTGGCGTTGCTCGATGGGAATGGATGCTTGAGGTGATGAATTAAAGGTTTGATGGAGTCTCCACGAGGGTGCTTAGGAACGCCCTAGCCTGGCTTTCGCATTGACGCTCAAGTCAGCAGATATCAATGGAGCTCCCTTGGCTTTGGTCGAAGTCGAGGATTGGTGACCCACGGTGATCCTATCGCATCTGTTTTTGGGCTTGGGATTTCACGATGAAACCCTATGACCCGAAATGTGGGCAGAAGAAAAGAGGGTCGGAACTGCAAGAAGAGTTTCGACCCATACGCCACGAGTGTTTGGATGTCAATGGGGGTCGATGTTTGGATTTCCAGAGGACCTATAGAAGTGATTGACCCATGTCTTCGCTGTATCACTGGGGGTCCAAATCCCGTGGCTGCCACTGGCCGTTTTCCAGTCGTCCTGGACAGCGACCTGACCATTCTTGTGACCGGAGCCATCCAAACTTCTGTCAACGGTGTCAAAGGTGCGATGTCCGCACCATTCAGTGCATGGGAGCATCTTCAAACACCGTATAAGAGATGATGGTTATGGCAGTTTTTACTTCTTCTCTTGCCATTTTATGTCAGTGCCCATCGAAGCCGGAGAGAGCGCGCACGCAGGCAGATCAGCTCTTGCCCAAGCCCAGTGATGCGACGTTAGATGCCTTAAGACGCAAGGCCCCGGGACCTGGTTGTGTGTTTGAAGGACGAGATGGGAGGATGATGGAGGATGGATGGTCGGATCACAAAGTCTCCTTACTTTGGTAGATCGGCTGGATCAACATCCTGATACTGATACTCTAATAGGCAGTGGTTGGCCATGGTTGGCCAGTGGTCATTCTTCCGGAACGGGAATGAATTGTAGACTGTGGGGTGTCAGCCTCGAGTCCCGACACAACTTGGATCGTATTATGATGACATATGTCATATGTCAGTACAAGACCAAGCGGAACCAGTCTTGTACTGATGAAAGCGTCAAGATTGCGTGGATCTATAATAAAGTCAATTGCCTTGAAGAAAGGCAGCTTCTTCCTGAATTCCAAGCTGAAGGAGCTCGACCACTTCCAAGTAACAAATGAAATTCCTTCGAGGGAAAGGACCTCAGCAATCATGAGCTATGTTTGGGTGTGGAGGAACGTTGGTTGGTGCGTCTTGAGCTTTTCCTTGCAACAAACTCCATGTTTCTCTTCGCTTGGAGTAAACCGAGCCCTACGCACCCTAGTGTACTCATCATAACTAGAAAAAGCATCAGTGTAGCTTATGATCAATGACCGTGCTAGATACCATTTGTTTTTAGATCTTATCCCCACTCTCGACCACAAATGATCGACCGTGCTAGTCGGTGGAAGGCGATCTCCGTTTGCCCGGCGTTGGCTGGATGGCCTGTGGCCGGCTCCTATGCAGGCCAGCTGATTTCACGGGTTACACTTTCTGGAACTAACATGGAAGTGGAACATGGCCCCATGGAAGACAATTTTCCTCTTCAAACAGCGGGTATGCCACTTCCATGTTAGTTCCAGGGAGAGTCACAAGATGTTCAAGGGGCTTTGAAGTTCTAAGTGCTTGTAATACTCGCCAAACGCCACTGACTGTGTTTTCACGCCACTGACTGTGAGAACACCACCTTGTTTTGGTGCTTTTCTGTTGTATCTAAGAGGACCGACCGTGACTGTGGTGTTGCTGAGTGAAGGCTTGAGGCCCGCCTTGGCAGACACCTTTGGGACGGACTACCTTCTGATGCTGGGTGTTAGCAGAGACACTGGCTGGGATGGGAAGTCATCCTGGAAGTGGAGTTCACCACATGTTTCTTATTCGGATGTATTCGGATTGATAATGGTCATCCGAATGAAAGGGGCCACCATGCCATGCGTTCTTCACTTCCAACCACCGAAAAGGCCTTTGGGCAAAGGGTGCTCAATGACCCTCAATGGATTGCAAAGGTTTCTTGTGAAGGATGCTACAAGAAGACAGTGAGTCAGGTGTTCTCTTCCTAGATTGAAAAACCATGTATTCCGTGTTATTCCCCAAGCATCAGCACCTACAAAGTGGTACACCTCCCAGTTCTCAGATGAATCGAGTGTATTTAAGGCCCCAGATGTTGCCGCAGGTGTCTTCCATGGCAGGGGCACTCCAAATGTACGCGGCTCTTATCGGTTCTCACAAAGATTATGGTACACTGGTCACAAGCTATGGACAGCAGGTTGACTGAGTGGTATAGTGGGCAAGTTGAAAATCCAACCATACCAGCCAAACCTCCATGCTCCTGCCATGAATCAATTTGGTCATTAGAAAGGAAACATGTTCCAATCGCACCGTCACTTCCCCATGTAGGCCAGGACGATGGCTCAATTAATCGGAATGGAACCATTTCCCAATAACACCGTCCAAATCATCTCATATATCATCAGGGATGATCAAGATGTCATACATCAACCAACCATACAGACCGGAGGGCAGCAGTCCGAGTTTCGTTCCAGGAACCCGAGTTCAGTTGTCAACCCACTTTCCAACTTCTTCTTCCTGGCTATTGGGACAGATCTCTTCGAATGGGGGCTTCCCTCGGAGACCCTGTGACTGAGGAACTCCTCGAAGAACTGGACCTCCATCTCGGGCGTGCGCAGCAGCCTGGCGGTCTTTCCCGCACCGGGATCGGTGCCACGACGTCCCGCAGACGGCGAAAATGGGGGGCCCGGGTGTGCGGTCTCTGCACTCAGAGCGGCCTAAAACTTGAAGACCAAGAGCTCAAACCGGTGAGGTTCACTGGAGTTGATGGAAACAAAACAACGAAAACACACAGGTTTGACATGTTTCTCCTAAGCTACGGCGAACACCATTGAACACCATTGCTTTTTGTGTTCTAACATGAAACACCCTGAAGAAGCCTTCTGAAGAAACACTCCTAAGATACTCAGAACCCATTGCACACCACATGTGAAAACCTATAGAACTCCGTTTTACGTTGCACACAGTCTCCCAGGCACTGGGCTCACAGCCTCTCTGGGGATTGCGCAAGAAGTGCTGGAAAGGCCGGTATTCGATGGGCCGAGCCGGATTCATAAGCGAAACAGTTGCAAAATCAGCTTTTCATGTTGAGAGACAAACATTCCGAATTTCTTCAAGAGGATGCCGAACTGGAAACCAATCCAAACATGTGCTGATTGATTTTTTGGTGGGTTCTTCCCATCGTCTACTTAAATGAGGACGACTGAAATAGCGCCAATGTGTTTCCGTATTAACCGTATGTACATGTGGGAACGTAGGTGGGCAATGACAGGCAGCATGTGTGGGTTGAAGACCTTGTTTCACATCATCTACACTCACCCTCTACTACATTACACATCAAATGGGTCAGCACCGGACGGGGCATTCATGGGTCAGCACCGGCTCAGCAGATTCTTCGCTCAAGGGTTCGGAACATGTGAAGACGCATTCGATGAACTTCCACGTGGCGTGGTTTGTCGTGGTGTATGCTCCAGGGTGGTGTGGATCTGGTCACACTATTCCTCAGCAAATGGGTTCGCCAACTTTTGGGGGATCCATGTTGCGAAGCTTTGTGCCCAAATCTTCTTACTTCTGATGGACAAGTCTTACCGCACTGAAAATGCTCATTCCCTACAAAGACTATAGTGAAAAATTCCAGACGATCTCAGATACATTCCTATGCCCCTTTTTTATACCTCCAGGTTGACCAATGCAGCAGACGGGCGCCTCCCTGATGAGTCGCCAGAAGGGTCTGCTTTTCGCCTGCCCTCGCTGGAACAACTGGCGGAGACCATATGTGGCGTTCAAATATGCTGGTGATGCATGTCGTAATTCATAGTAGAACTAGCATTACAGTCAGTCCAGTGCACACAAGAATCAACTAATCAAAGCAGTGAAAGGATGAGGACACAGATGAAAAGGATTGTTTGTGAGGCGATGCGTGGCCTCATTGCCCCCAGATGTCTGGAAAGTACCCTCATAGCATCCCTGGCAAAAGAATTTCAAGGATACTAAATCGAAAAAACCTGTGGGTTCCTGGGCACTTTTCGCGGGACCACATATGTGCAGATAGCATTTTCCCTCTTCCCTTTGACCCTCCACACAGGAGACCTATGCGAGCAGCGGCTGTGTGGAGGCAGCTCAGCGCCGCTGGTATGTGGCACACCCGCCCACCGGGCTTCAAGAAGCTCGCGCCGTTCACGGTTCGGGGCGAAGGAGGGGCGGGTCGCGCCAGGCGGAATGATGGTGCCCACCTATAGCATACCGGAATGATCGTGCACTTAAACGCTGTTGGTGAAAGAAGGATAGATATAATGTACTCAAAGGTATAGCGTACTGTAGTGTACTGTACATATATCTGTGAGGCACCTACATGTACACTAAGGTAGGTAGTACAATATTGGTCATGACTCATGACCGACTGGATGGTCCTGCTTCTAGCGTGAAAAAGATGCCAAGGCAGACGGCTTTGGGTTTGGCGACCACTGCTCAGACGCCATGGATGCCAGGCTTGGAGAATCAGGGAAGAGATGTCGGGTGCTTCTCCAGTTGAGATTGTGGTGAGGACGGCAGGACCACAATTGAAACCTTGCAAACTCCTCATGCCCATTGCAAACACGATCAAATACATTCAAATAATGTCAAAGACGTATATAATATACCCTGTTAGCCAACCAGTATCAGCAAGAATATTCACGAAAGCTAGCAGCAGCTAGCTGGAGTTGTCCTTGCTTTAGCAAGTGAGGGGCTGGAATCCTCGAGATCACCGCATCACGTGAAAACTTCATATGTAGAGGGCCACCCCCGCCCCCCACGGGTTCAACTCCCCCTGGGACGCCTTTGGGACACCTCTTGGACACCTCTTATGGCATCCACTTTGGTTCAACTCCTCCGTGGAGGTTTTGGGATACGATGCAACAGATTCAACAGATTCACAAGCTAAGGTTGGCTGTGTCATTGCAGTTCGCGTGTCTTACATGTTCACAACGTTACAACGTTTTACCTCATGAGCGAGACCTTGTGAACCATCCCTCCAACAGCCCCATGCCTATGAAAAAAGATTTGCCTCACTCCGCTTGATGTCCCACCAATCCTTTGTCACTGGACGGCGCTGTATGCTTCGCCTCCACTGACACGGATGCATCCCTGCTAGCTTTCGTCACCTACCCTCGGCCTCAAGTTGCTTATATTGCAATTTACGAACAACAGGTTATATATTTGCAGGGTATTTCCCAACCCTGCTAGCAAATTTGTGCAATTTGTTCATCACGCGGCTCCTGGGTAGGTCGGGCTCATGTGGGTCCATGGCTTGGCCGTCA